GTAGACTGGGGGGACGAGTGTTGTTAGTGAGCAACTATTTAGGTTGGCGTAGCAGCATACAAAGGGGTGGTGGAACAATCGCCATGCCTGGCCTTCTTTGTTTTTCTTATTTTGAGATTCACTCTCTGCAGTAGGAACTTTTTTTATGGTGGAATTAACACAGGAGAGCCCTAAGACATGTTCAGATTGAACGTGTCAGTTATGCACATGGCCAGGAATCAAAATCAGGATGCTAGAATTGTAGGAGAGTGTGCCAATGACTAATCCACCGCTCCCTATAACACGAAAGACAAACAAATACACAGATCCACCATATAGCCTACGTAATGTTGGGGCAAGTGCTGTTAGCTAGCGCCTATGAAAGCTGGTACACTGCAAGAGGGGGTGGGTGGTCAGCATCACACCCGGCCACTTTTCTCTCCCCACTGCTGATGGCACACCCCACACTAGGTTCTCATTGAAGGCTAAGTCGACCTAGGGGAGGGCCATGACTGGTTCAAATAATCACCACTGTTATTGTTTATGAGTGGGAATCGAATTTGGACCACCAGGTTCGTAGCGCAATGCGCTAATCACAACACTACTGCTCCCTACAACACGTTCACAATTACACACACATTTTACCGATGACATATATAAATGCAATGTTTACATGTGCTATTATAAAGCAATCACTGTAAATTTAACCTAATGAGGTGGGTCCATACAATTGTGTGTCATCATCGCATAGTTTTTCTTATTATTATTTGCTTTCGTACTTTCACTCATAAATATCCATGAGCAAAAAAGAAACCTTATTCTCAAAATGAAAGGCAATAAAAAGAACTGCTTTCATAGTTGGAACATCATTAACAATACCGTCTCGAAGCACAGCAGCGTGCAGCGAGTCACACTATTTCTTCACTGCTGCAATGACAATGTCATCATGAAGTCAACCTCTGCATAATTCTTGGACAAATCACTCCAGCATCAGGCACAACAATATTACCCTGACGTGTGACTAGCCTCTAATCGATGTGTGGGGCATGCGCACGTACGTACGTATGTGAGTGTGTGCGTGTGCTTTAGAATCAGAAGGCCCATTGAGTGGATGCAATTCTCATGTCACAAAACAGCACCATCAGCAGCAGCATTTATTGTATCAGAATGTGAGTGCATAGAGTTCAGGCATGAACACAAGCACGTGTGTGCGTGTATTCTATGTGCAAGGGGGAGCGGTAGTGCGGTGGTTATGACACTGCGCTACAAACCCGACAACCTGAGTTCGATGCCTGCTCACAGACAAAACCAGTGACAATAATCTGAACCAGTCTTGGTCCTCCCCTAGGTCAACTCAGGCTCAAATGAGTACCTGGTGCAGTGTGCAAATACATCAGCACTGGCGAGACAAAGGCGGCCGGGCATGGTACTGGCCACCCCCCCCCCCCCCCCCCGTGTGCTGTGCCGGCCTTCATAGGTACTGCTCACTAACAGCACGTGCCCTAAAAGTCTGCTTAAGGCTGTGTTGTCGATGTGCAAACACAGACGACACTGCCACATTGGGTGGTCTCAATGTTGATACGTTGTCATTCTTCATTTTAATATAAAATTGCATCTTTCTGCATTTCAGCTTCACGGTTATGTTTTTAGCTAATCCCACATGAAAGTAACTTAAACACAAGTATATTCATGCATTGTTGAACATTGAGTCAAATGCAATAACCTCAACCATCTCATTTACGTGTATTTCCCCCCCCCCCCCCCAAATCAGCGATTGCCACTTCTATTTGGTTGTAGAATTGCCCAATACGTTCTGCCGATTCTGTCACGCTTAGGCTGAACGTACCCACGTATCAGCCCTCGTGGGCCAGTTAACGTGCGCCCGCTGTGGCCTCACCGATTGGAGGAAGTCACCAGTGGCCACCAGTCGGGCCACCTCATGAGACACTGAGTCCTCTCTGTGAACGTGCGATTCTCACCGCTGGCTAAAGCACACTCATGCCCTAAAGCAATCTCAGCATGTAGGTTATTTACCTTTCATGTGTAATGTAATGCTACGTTACAAGGTAAATAGTATGCAATTTAATAGTCCAGCCATTCCAATGCAGGAGCCTCCTCAATAAAAATGCGACCCAGTGACATTCCACACATTTTAAATATGGAGCATTACTTATAATAATAATTACATTTTATATCACGTTGTTCATGCAAAACTGCATCTCACAAAGCTGTAAAAGACCACAATCAAACATTAGTGGAAGAGTGGTGGCTCAGTGGTTAGCGCGCTGCACTGCAAACCCAGCCGTCGATTCCCAGCCAAGGTTATAATATCAGTGATGAATGTTACCTGAATCAATCCTAGGCTTCCCCTCTTAACTGTCTTGCACTGCCCAGGGTGGTGAAGTATAGTCAAATAAACAGCACGACCGATATGGTATGGGAAAGTTTTCATCCACCAGTGCATTGCCAAAGGCTGTAAGTTATCATTCTGCTTTTGAGAGTTTGATATCAATGTGGAGTGACGTTAATTTTGAACGTGTATAATACAATCTGTTTAAAAAACCAGAAAATTAATCGTATCTAAATCTGTACAGAACTTTTAAGACAGCCTCACAAGTGATTTAGTCGAAGTGGGGTTAAGTTTTAATTAAGTTACTGCAAAATACAACTCGCAAAGCAAATAGAATATGTAATGCACTCAACAGCATTACTTTCTGAATAAAAACTTGAATGCAACTGCGTGAATAAACATTGCAAGCTAATGTCCCAATTAAATATGCCAATCAAGTGATGAATGTTCACGCATGAACAATAATTTTCATAGCAGAGCATCAATCTCATCATCGCATCAACGTCTATTTTTTATTTTATTTTTTCCATCCGGATGATGCTGTGGCTCGCTACCCAGTCAACGTGCAACGTTGCGACAACATTGGCATTTGCTTGCAACTATTGTACCGTACCAACATTGGTCCAACGTTGGTTGAACGTTCTACATTTACTGCGTCAGCTGGAAATTTTGCAGAGCTCCCAATTAGAAGATGATGAGTTAGAAATCCCAGCTGGAGTCTGACTCAGACTGGAGCCTCGCTCAGACTCCAGCTAGCACGGTTGGCTACGTGCAGTGCGAATTCAGTTTAATATACATACTTACAGCCCATCACACCTTTACTGTGGTAAAATGTTGAATGTCCGCTATGTATAGTCATGCTGCAGGAATATGCTATATCGGTATCACAATTTCAGGACCATCAGTGAGCACTGGCACACCGCTCACTTGAGCTGAGGCAACTTGGACTGAACTGCTATAATGTAATCTGATGCAACAATCCATGATGGCAAATTCAATTAATGAAACACATTTTTAAGTCTTGGTTGGGATTTTTTCAGTTCTCGCTGACATTGCAGCGCATTCAGATCCCATGAGCCTCTATCCAGGTTTTTTTCTTCTTAAAGAAGCAATGGCAATGCAGTGGCCATTACCTTCAAGTATATTTGCAACACTCCTATATGCATACAACTGGATGGAATGAGACATGGAATAACTGGTTTAAACTCACAAACAGCTTTGCCGGTCACCTTGAACCCAGAGACAGCCTGACACAAAGCATGGCATATGTTTCCCACTCCTCTGGGAAGTACAGATAGGTTGCCTTCACTTGATTCATTGAGTCTTGGGCATTTTCATTAAATCCAGATCAATAATTTATGCAGGTTGCAATTGATATACGCCGGCTAATTATTATACACAGACCTCTCAAAGAGTCAGGGACTCTGGGGCAAAGCCCTTGACTCGCAATCAGAAGGCTGGAGATTAAAGCCCCAGTTGCGAGTCAAGTTGACCCATCGTCCATCTGGGGTCGATAAAAGGAGTACAGTATTCTCTCATTTTTCACGAACTTGCCGTTCGCGATTTTGGCCATCTGCGAATCGCATCTGGAACTCTACACGACTGCATCGAGAGAGAAAGAAAGTGATGAGAGGTAAAAAGATGGGCGACAAAGTGATGAGATAAATTGATGAGATAGTAATGACATCACAACGATCATCACCATCATTGTCGTCATTATCATCGTTGCCAACATCATCGTTACAGAATCCTTCATCTGCACAGCATCATCATAATTTAAGATACGTTCATTTATAAACTATTATTTCATTTACTTTATGTTTATTATGACCAATTTCCTGGTGTGTTAATATAATTTATACGCATTTAATAGCTTATTTATGTATTTATTTAAGGTAATTCATTCGTAGGCCTAAATGATTATCCGCAAAATGTGCTATTCACGAGCATCTCCAGAACGTATCCCTCACGGAAAACGAGGAAACGCTGCACTACATTGTGAAAAGTCTACAGTGGCTGTCCAGTTGAAAAAAGGTGGCCTCTGCCTTGAGAATCTGGAGTTTACACCACGAGGTCAGGGCCTCCAACAGAAAACGAACTCCAAGCAACTTCCAGAGATGTGCAGAATCCTCGCCAATCCCTTGGCGAGCTGCAGTCATATTTAGGTACATGTGCAGCCTTGCGATGACCTCCTCATGCCACTGCTAGAGGGGCCTTTACTCTGGGGAGCTCCAGACAGCCCCTACCGAGGGTATTTTCGCGGACTCTTCCACACTGGCCACATGTCTTGGGAAAGGTGAGAGTACTCACACTTTCGCCCCACCATACGCGAGCTGCCAATCGACTAATTGTGGTGCATTCACGTCTACTGCTAGGTGGACATCGGTAAGGGGGCCGGGGGTGGGGGATTAAGAAACTTTTTCCCCATTATTTGAACTGCCTTGACCTACGAATTGCAAGTCCAATGTGATAACCATTACACCACAGCAGCCCCACTTAAGTGGCATGTTTAACGATATGTAAATCCAAATCATATTATCCGGCGCACACACAAGATCGCAGGGATGCCACATCAGTTCTGTGGCTCGGTTGACCGAGCCGTCTGGCTTAAAAAGTGACACTGGCGTGTGTGCAGCAGAGTGCAAGATGGTGCGGGCGTGTATCCGCTCGCCTGCAAGGATGCCCCAGGGCAAGGGTGGCAGCAGCGTGCAGGTCAGACGTGTGTAGACAGCCGTGCAGGCCGCATGCAGCAGCACATTCGCCAGGTGGTAGCCCCAGGGGTCCAGGCCGCCCAGCGCAAAGTTGAGGCGGAACGAGAGCGTGCAGAGCGGCCGGAACGACTTGTGGCTGCCGCTGTGCGACAGCGGCGTCCCCCAGAAGTCGTCGTAGAACACCCGCGTCCACGGCACGTCAGGACGCAGGTCCTGGTTGGACGTAATGGCTCGGCTGCCGAACAAGAGGAGAGGATCATCAACGTCATCATCATCATTCATGACTTGATGTTGCATGGCACACAAGTAAAACATTTGTAATATTGCAGAAATCAACCGGTCCACAGTTTTCGATCACTGCATCACTGCTGCTGTCAACTGATCATATATGCTCAGAATTATTTTGAGGGTGCTCGAAGATAAGAGGACCCACAATGCACTTCTCATGAATCCTGGTGATATTTGTTTGTAAAAGCACAGAGGCTGTCAGCTTTTTGCACGTTTGTGTCTTGTTTGAAAAATACCAAAGAGCCAACGATATTAAAGAGCTCAGTTGAACAGAACACTGTACATTGGAAGCACACACGAAACCAAATCACACGAATCTTCCAAGAGGAGAGGAGATACATTTTAGGGTGAAGCGTTGCACACAATATGACGACCATACGGCATACCGTTTCATCACTAATTTGTGAATGCGAACCACCAAAATTAAATGCAACCTTTTCAATTCCCCTGCAGAGGTAGGAGAGTCGGCTTTCCATTTGTATTCGTATGTATATAGTACACAACACTACTTCTACTTGTGCACCTTAACAACATGATAGTTGTAACCTGTTTGCTTGAAATCACACTCGGACAACAAAGCTGCAGGTAAGACCGACTTGTGTAAGCAATCACAGAGCACGTTGTGTGCTAGCGAGCCAGAACGCGGCGAGCAAGCGAGTGAATAATTACTATTCGAAAGTAAGCTGTTGTTTAACCATACTTCACCACTCTGGTTGATGGATAAGGTACAAGGAGGGGTGGGTGGGTGCCAAGGGCCCACTAATTCAAATAATCGCTCGCCGCTGCATGAAACGTGGCCAGGAATTAAATCGGGTTGGTGGGTTCAACGCATTACTCCAACAACGTGAGCATGAATAATAATAATAATAATGTTTTATTTCTCTAATTCAATATTTCATGAGTAGCTTGTTTCATGAGAGCTGAGGGTAACCATAAGCTGCCTACGTCTAGGTAAGATATATTTAGGATTACTGTTTAACACGTAGGCTTTCGCGACCAATTACTGGTGAAGCGTCGTACTCAGATTGTAAATGTTGTGTATTTGCTCTCCAACACACCGGTGTGCTGTATTAGTAACGAATTGGCATTTTTTGTTTACGTGACAAACCTTACTAATTGGCTGTGTAGGGTGATGGCGGGTTTAATGACACATTTATATTTACGTGATCTAACCCAAAAAAAAAATCTGTATTATGTAGGATTACTGTGTTTGGTTTAAATGCTCTCGACAGAGATCTGAGCTAAGACAAGCTGGCAATAATGATTGGGAGAGAAAAATTACCCAAGCCAGCTTGCATAGCAGCCATTTATCCCTTTGTATGTGTGTATTTCTCTGTCAAGGAATGCCCAAAACCAACATTGTTAAATTTCATTACCAACATCAAGACAACAATGCCTTGATATGTCTCAGTGCTTTGATGTCAGGATAAAATAATATTTTCAAAAATACTGTTTATTAAAAAAATGTCAGGTTATCATGGCGGGCATGAAAATGTGTGAAAATGAGCGTTGACAAAGAAACAGACACACACACACTGTACAACCCCAATAATTGAGATCCTAGAGATTTTCACTTAGAAATAAAATGAACGTGGTACTTGGAAGTGGAGAACACAACAGCCCACTTTGGGCTGCCAGTGCAAAGACGTATATATCCAGCACTGATCTCAAGAGAAATATGTGTGGGCCAAACATCGTTCTTATGCCCTTACCTTGCCAATATTAGTACATAACTCAAGGGTGCCTTTGAAACTCGGCACGGATTGTGTGCCAAAAAACCAAAAGCCATTTTCCAAACGGAGTAATCCAATTCCAGCCTGGTGCACCGCGATCGCAGATTAAATGGAGATGATGTACACAGAACCCTTCTTTGCATTGTGGCCAAGGGTAGTATGCACGTGTGTCCTCAGCATCTCAGCACGTTCTAAAGAAAGTTAAAACTATTTAATTTCGAGCATAAAACAACAAAAAATATAAAACCGGCAGCCTCATTACCATGGCATTAATCACAGGGGATATCTTTTAATTAACTTGCGGCAAATCTCGAGTGCGCAATTGTACTAAATTCTAAGCTGTGATCCGCTGCAATCGCTGCCACGGGCGATCAAGAAATGTTTTTTGTGTCGAACAAAGCGAGGCCAACGTGCGTGCAATACAAGTCGACGCCGATTTCAAAGAGACTTGGATTCGCCACAGTGCGGACTGCATTCTATAAATTAGGAACAGTGTTCCAGTGTCAATGCCCCTCATGGGTTTAACATAGACAGCTGGGTTTCACGTTGTTATGGGTGTGTGTTTGTGAAAGTGTTTACCACATATGTACGTGAATGTGATGTGTGTGTGCGCGCTTGTGTAGAACATGGTGGGAGCGGTAGTAGAGTGGTTAGTGTGCTGTGCTACGAACCCGGCGACCAGAGTTCAATCCCTGCTCACGGCCAACACCAATGGCGATTATATCTCAATTGGTACTGGGCCTATCCTAGGTTGACTCAGCCTCAAATGAGTACCTCGTGTGTACACATCGCCACTGGGTAGACAAAGGCGGCTCGGTGTGGTCCTTGTGTACCGTGCCAGCCTTCATCGGTGCTGATGAACAGCAATTGCCCCAAAAGTCTATTAAGGTTATAAGGGGGATCTTTGTCTTGTGCAGAGCATGATGCTGTAGCGAGCGTACTGCACTACAATCTCGGTGACCTGGTTGTAACTACCATGAACGGTCACGAATATCAGTGGAAAGTTATATGTAAATCTATCCTGGGTCATCCCTAGCTTAACGCAACCTTCAGCAACTGAACAATAGCAATGAGGAGACAAGGGTGGTAGTCAGCCACACTACCCTCTCATGTGTCATGCCGGCCTTAGTCGGTGCTCGATAAAACACTCACTTTCATGGTCTATTCGGCTTCACAGGAGATCTTATACTTTGTGTATACAGTATGTGTGAGTACATTTTTCCAATGTATCCTTCATAGACTGTTGGCAGATCACATGAGCGAGTGGTTTTAGGAGCCGTGGCACAGTGGTTAGAAAACTGTACAAAACACTGTGATGCCATCACATTCCTGGCAGCCTACATTCAATTCCGAGCCATGCACCGATAGCAATTTTTATTATCTTATCCTGATCTGTGTTTCCCCGAGGTCAATTCAGTCCAAAATTAGCAACATGTGCAGTGTGACAATATCAGTACATGGCAGATAAGAGTGGCGAGGCATGGAGCCAGCCACTGCGATCTGTCATGTGCCATGCTCGCCTTTCTTACGGGCACTTGTCCAAGTCAGTCTTATAAGGATACACAGTGGGACATGTCTGTGCACATCTATATTTTGGGATGCAGTTTAGAGCGCAAACAGCACCTCAAACAGCTCCTCCGAAGGCCCACGCAATCATACGATTAAATTGTGAGTAAATTTCGATTTAAAGCTTTCGTGACTGCAGGGATTCATCTTCTTGGTTCTTTCGGTAAAGTGACGTGACTTTACCGAAAGAACCAAGAAGATAAATTGTGAGTCTTGTGGTCAAGTCGCAAATAGGATTTAACAGATAAAAACGGAACGTGTCCAAGGGGACGACCTTCGGGGAGATGAAGCGATGCGGTCAACTCGCGCACGGCTGCTACATGAGAAACGATGGTGGGCTTGTGGAGATCTTAATCCAGCAGTGGATTTACCATGGTCGATGTTGATGATGAGGAACCAATAGCAGCATCTTTATCCCACTAAGTCACAGGCAGCGTTTATAAAAAGGGGGTGGGGGGGGGCAGCGTGACGTTTCTTGATGACTGCCAGTGTAAAGGCATGTCCCCCTCAGCAATGTCTCCTTAGCCATGGGGCAGGGCACCAGGTAAGTCTCACGTAACACGCAAAGGACGTAAGTTTGACTCCCTATGTTGGAGCGCGATGTAAATTTGAATGGATAACAAGTACAACATTTTTATAATCAATACCAATTGTGTCTTGATTTGAAGCTTTCGTGACTGCAGGAATCCATCCTCTTTGGTTCTTTCGGTAAAGTCACGTAGGTAAAGAAAATAATAGATCGCGATGTTTCGATCGCAACAACAAGCGACCGTCTGTTGTTGCGATCGAAACGTCGTGATCTATTATTTTTCTACCTACGTGACTTTACCGAAAGAACCAAAGAGTATGAATACCAATTGTGGTTATGAAAAGGGTAAATTCTAACTTTGAAATGAATATAAATTTCAACTAAATTGTGTATTTTTTTATCCACTAGTTTCTTAACGACTTTATATTTGCTACCTAACATTCATCGCATGCTAAGCATGTAACTAATGTTAAGTAGCAAATAAAAGCAACGTTCTGTCGCATTTCCCAGTCTCCTGACTGTGAAATGCTATTTTACACTTGGTTACTCTAGAATATTTTGTTATTTGGCTTTCACCTGGCTTTAAAAGTAGGTCTACTATTCAGTATGAACAGTAAAAAGTACAATAAATATTAATTCCAATGCTTTTTTGCAATGAAATTACAGCATTTGACTCTTACTGGCTTTCCTAGCAATTCTGTTGCAAACTGCAGGGACTTTAATTAGCGGTGCCAAATGCTCTTGTTCCCCCAAGGGGTGGATGATACCTGTGCACATGCACACAGCTTCCCCCGAGATGTATCTGGTTGTAACCGTAAGCGAACACACAGAACCCTGTGGTCAGCTTGCCTAAAAAAAACCTGCGAGTCACTTCTGCAGGGAATATCTAAAAAGCCACATTTTCTCTAAATGTGGCATTAAACACTCACGACAAGAACAATCTGCAAAAAACAGTTGTGAAAACCAACACTACCACCAGTAGGTGAATGTGAAATACTTTTCCCAGAAAGCAACATCATTGAACCTATTTATAGAGTACATCTAGTTATCGCACTTTCCTTTGAAAATTAGATGGTTCCCACCGAGATCCCACCTAGTTTTACATAATGGGCATGCATA